AAAGAGGGGAGAGAAGATTGAACACACCGATGGTACAATGCTGCAAATGGGGAAAGTGAAAAGGTACTTACTATATTCACTTTATTGTTCTTGTGCTTTGCATTTATATTCTTGATATCAGTCACGATATGTGTATATAAAGTCTGAGGAAAAGAAACAGAACATAGATGAATTAAGCCTAACCAACATTTCGAACCTTGTTAAATCTGGAAAAAATATGAATGGGTTCTATCGTTTAACGATGCAACCCTAAACACTGGGTGCTATTGTTTGAATATCCACTCTAAAGTCCTGTGTTGAGCCCTAAAAACAGGACGAAGAGGGTGAAAAGTTAATCTGATTATGGTTCTGAACAGTGGGAAGAGGTTAATGATTGAGTGGTTAGGCAGGGCCTCCATGACTAAATTCTGGGAGTTTATAAGCAGAGGGAGTAACACCAGAACTAGAGAGGGAAACCCACATGGAACCCAGTCCACACGTTCTACACGCACCACCCCCCTCTGCTTCTATCAGCTGTGCTGTGATGTAGGCTGGCCTCATACCAGTCTGTGCCTTTGGTCTTTGCAGCCACCAGAATGCTAAGTCAAACAAGCCTCTACTTCTTTATAACTCACTGTCTCAGGATTGTTAGCAATGAATAATGGACTAAGAAGGGGGGCGGTGTGACGGCCATGAGCATCCTCGCCCTGATTTAGCCTGTCTATGATACTACAAGGTAAAGGGCTTGCATTTAGAGCAGGCAGCCTCACTCAGCTCTACCATTCAGCATCTGTGTGACCCTGGCCAAGTTACTGTCTCTCTGTGCTTCAACGTTCTCATCTGTAAATAATAATAATCCCTCTCTCATTGCGCTTTATGAGGAACTGATTAAATATATAAGAGCTCCAAGAATGATGTCTGGCACAAAGCATACACTCAATATGTATTTGCTATTAACACCGTATCATCTGAACACAATGGCTATTTCTTTTCCTCTAAAAATCATTAACTGTATTAAATAATGTAAAGCATCAGGAAGTCAAGGGATTCCAAATCCTGAAGTTTTATGTCAACTCAAGAAGAGTAAGATGCAGGAAAAAAAATTCTTTACCTTTCGTAGAAGTTTATCATGGCAACGCAGAAGTTCGAAGAAGAGTTCCAGCAAACTTGATGGGTTGATGAGGTTCTTATTTCTCAGTAAGATCAAAGCTTTGCAAAATGTCTCGAAAGGAAAGGAAAACATACCATAAGATAATAAAGTGAGAAGATGGAGTATATACATCCCAAAGAGCTTCAGGTCTTTTACCAACCCGTACAATACCGGGCAGCAGAACAGACAGCGTTCACGCCCATGAAGCTTACGGTGGGAATGATGCAGAAAAGGAGACAAATAGAGACATAAGCAAAGGTGTCTCAGGTAGGAAGTGGCACAAGGAAATAAAACAGGGTAATACTATTACTGAACACTGACCTACTGACTGAGGGAGGGCTACTGCACACAGAGAGGTCAAAGGAGGTCTCGGAGGAGTGTCAACATATGACAAAATCCTAGTATGAATGAATCCACAAAAAGGTAAATGGGGTAATAATAACTCAATACACTAAACCTGGAATAATCAAAGCATTCTTCTGAAATCCTGTCAGCACTGAGAATGGCCTAACCGAGCTGTAGGACTTTTGCTTGCCACCAGCTGTCACCTGAACCCTCATCACAACAATGTCAGTCTCCAATGCTACTCATCATTGAACATAACAAATAATCTATGGACAATAGCTGATTCCATGTCTTAGGGTAGGAAAGCTAGTAAAAATGACTCCAGAGCTATTTGTCCAGAATGCAATGATGTTTTTGGAAACATCAGGGGCACTGCTTAAAGGATTAAGGAGTCCTTGGCCAAGTGGTGACAATTTTAACATGAAATAGATGTAATGATGCTAAAAAAGAAGTTCATAAAAACTACTTTAAAGGTAATTACAATGTTGAAAAGAGATATTAAGTTAAATTTTTTCAAACTAACTTTCTTCCATGAGAGAGAGGAGAGACAGAGACACACATGCATCTAAACCAGTCCTTCATGCAGCCATCCAACCCAGCCTCGGTCAGCCAGGATGACAGGTAAGCACAAGTGTGCCCAGCATGCACAGGGAGACCTCAGGATGTGAACCTGGGACCTTCTCGCCACCACAGCAATAAGTTCAATTTTTATAGATTTTATCAAGTAGTGAAAATTACTATACATGTATATTTTGTTTCTTATCACCTTATCGGCCACTGGGCTTTCTTTCTACCTAGTGTATTTGCTACTTTTCTGGGACTTGTGAAGTAATTCCCAGATTTACTTCGTCCTGCTTCCATAGAAACAGATCATATCTCTCTCTCTGCCTCACAGCCAGGAATAATAATAAAAGGAAGGTCTTGCAGTGTACTGTTTTATAGCAAAGGAAACTACTATTTTTTGGGAAAAGCCTACTAACAATCCTCAAACACCAAGTAGAAACAAATAAACACATTTTATTTATTTAGTAATGCCCACAGACCAGTTTGGCTGCCTACTGCCAACCATGTGAAATTTAAAGAAAAATAATAATGAGGAAAAACACCAAGTCCCTACTGAAAATCTCACATCTGTATGACTTATGGAAGAGTTCCATAACATACGTCGAAGCTTTCCTTCCAACTAACGGTTCAGGTCTGAAGCCCTACTCTGTGCAGACAGGTCCCATGTGCCAACCAAGTCAATCAACTGAAAAACTGAGAGCCTCCAACCTTGGCTGGTCTGAGATAGCATTTTTCTTCAGGGCCTAATCAAATTCATAAAACCCCAGAGAAGTATAAAAATGGTAAAATTACAGAAATTAGGAAAATGTAAGAATGAGAAACAAGTTGAATCTATGACGTAACAAGTTTTGGTAAAGGAAATCAACATGCTTTGTGATCATAATATTTGCTGAAGCGCTTGCTGTAAAGGTGATTAAAAAGCAGATGCATTGCACTTGCCAAGAAACAATGAAAAGTAGACGTAGCCGACTTCTGAGTAGAGCCCAGCCTCTGTTGTATGGCCAGCAGTATACCAGATTGTAGAGATGGAAGCCATATGCCAGATGAGGTTCGAGTCCCCTGCCAGGATGCCCTAAAACATACCGGTGTATGTCTGCATGCCCATGGTTCTGGCAGGAACAGAGCAAGGTGACTGAGGTGTGACCCAGTCTTGTGAAGGGTGTCTCTTTCTATCTTTCTCTCTCTTACATGAACACATGAATATACTTCATCATGAATTAAACAAACAAATAAACAAACAAAAACAAAACTGAAAATGCCTTAGGGTAGATCCCCTAGAAGCAGAGCCTGATTCATTATGTGATTTGCTGGAATAAGCTCTCCGAAGGGAAGTGAAAGAAGCAGGAGAGGGCAGAGAAAAGGAAAGCTTAGCAAGGATGTGTCCTCGGCTGGAGTGGAGCATTAGTGGCATCACAGGAAGCCTTGAAGCACAAATCACAAGGCTGAGTTAGATCCCCTTTAAGGCAGGGGGTAGGCCTTTTTCTCTCATAATAACAGTCAGTGAGTGAAGAAGGAAATCCACAGGGGCTATGAATTCCACTTAGCTAAGGATGACACTCCAGAGAAAGGGCAGCTGTGGGCACTGGAAGCTGGCATTCACAGCAGGTGCAAGAAAGTATACACTGGCCAGGAAGAGGGGATCTCATCCACAACACTGCTACAACCACTAAAGGGATAAGACTTAGATGTAAGCTGATTAAGCATTATAAAAATACAGGCTAATGCACATGAAATTTGAATGACTGGGAGACATCACCTATCCAAAAGAGATAAAAGCATTCAGGCAGGTTCAACATGCTGGAAAAACAGATCAGAAACGGGGGTACAACAGAAAAGGAGAGATCGGAAACACAGGCAGGAAGCAGACCACTTATAGCAGGGACTTATAGGCCATGGTATTAAGTTTCATTCTATGGATAAATGAGAAGCCACAGAAGGATTTTTAAAAAGGGTGAGATGTGCTGACTTCCACTGATAAAAGATGTTTAGCTGAGAGGCTCTTCTTGTTTAAACACATACTACTGGGTTGTCAGAAAGTCATGACACATTTTTGCATAGAAAAACACGTCCTGACTTTTCCAACAACCTAATACATGCATACGTGTAAACAACACATTTATAGATCCAAACACTGGTCCTACCATTCGAAGATCTGGATCTAAGACAGTGTGATTGTAGGAAAGAAGATCCTTCAGCTCTTGAGGAAAAGTACTGAGGTGTTCTGGGTAGCACTGAGCAATCTGTAACGAAACAAAGGCTCCTTTGAAGTTTCTTCTTCTATAATTCAGATGCAGAGATCTAGGCTGTTCTGCAAAAACACAGTATGAGTTTCCATTTCACAGAAGTGCATGGTTCCACCTCACTTGACCCCTCTGGTATTTTCTCTAGTCTGTAAAATAATGTGTGACATAATTTTGAACTTGCTTTTATAACAAATTAAAAGAAAAAAAGATAGTTTGAAGGTTTTGTGCCGGTTTGGTTCTGGAAAAAGATCTAGTTAAATCTTCCGATTCACCAGAGTTGAAGAAAATAACATTAGCAAAAAGGTAAAGTTAAAAAAAATTAAGTTTGTACTCCAGAGTGTAATGAGGTTGAGTATTACTGAAAAAAAAAAAAAATTTGTAAATTACGTGTAATGCATTTTTTTTTCTTTTTTCTTTTTTAAGAGATAGTGTCTAGCAATATTGCCCAGGCTGGCCTTGCACTCTCAATCCTTCTGCCTCTGCCTTCAGAGTAGCTGGAATTTCAGGCTCATGCCACCACATTCAGTCATTGGTCTTTGTCACGTTCAGAAATTACTACTTACCTGTGCCATGAACATCACCAGTTCTGCAAGTTCTTTGCTGGGTTTATTTGGTTGTATTGTGAAAATCTCCACATTGGATTTGTAGTGATTATACTGCTGCAGAAACTGTAGAAAAATAAAATTAAATAAACGAAACTGTATTATGTATTTAGCTGAATACACGTGCAGCTCTCTATCACTCCAGGTTTTTATGTAAAAATTATCATCTCAAGAAGACCTTCCCTTCTACTGCATTTAAAATCGCAACCCCACCTTATGTCCAACACATTTTCCTTTTTTCAGCATTTTTCATCACTTGACATGCCGCAATCCCTTCTCCTCCATTCTCCTCTCGGGATCTTGGGCACGCACGCACACGCGCCCAGTGTGAGTTTAAGCCACCGGGTCCGGGACTCGAACCACAGTTGACTATGTGGGAGTCTAGCGACACAGCCATTATGCTAACTGCTGGTCCCACCCCCGGTGTTTGTTTTTTAAGCTGCTGAGTCTGGGACGCAATTGCTCAGCCAGCCATGTGGGATCCAGCGTCTTAACCTCCACACCACCAGCTAGCCCAATGGGGACAGGATTTTACCTGTACCACTATAGTTTCAGTATCTAGCACCATGCCTCGCACAAAACAGGTAATATCTGTCAAATGAATAAACTTCTGCAAATGACGCTTTTGTCTACCTAGACACAAAAGTAAAAAGCCCGAGGCATCCTTCATTCTTTCTTTTCCCCTCGTTCCCCACATCCACTCCACCACAAAGTCCTGTCTGGTGCCTTCATGTGGAGTAGTCTCAGTCTGCCTACCTCTCTACAAGCTGTTGACAAGTCCTATGGCACCACCATCCCTTACTGGACGATTCTGACAGCAGTTATATTAGCTATTCTGCTTCTAGTCTTACTCTCCTATAATCCATGCTATATCAAACTTCCAGGGTAAATTCTTAAAAATATAAATCAGGGACCAGCAGATGGCATAATGGTGACATCGACTGATTCCCATGTAGTCAACTGTGGTTCAAGTCCCAGACTTGGCAGCTAAAAATTCACGCTGGGAGTGTGTGCGTGCGTGCCCAAAATCTGAAGAGAAGGGATTGCAGCATGGCCATGCCCTCGGGGGTTGATTTCTTGCCTTTTAACTCTCCATCAAGCATGTGTGCCCTATAGCAAGAACCTCTCTTAAAACAAACAGGAAACCCCCCAAATACATAAATAAGATGTGTCACTCCCCTTCTTAAAACCTCCCATCAATCACCAAAACACTAAGTATAAAATCTAAACTTCTTACCATGGCCTAGCCCTGCACAATCTCACCCCACCTGCCTCTCCCACATTCATCCACTGCCCTCTCCCACACTCACTACACTTCAGTCCCACCGGCAGCTTCTCGGTTTCCTTCCGAGACCTTCTTCACTTCCTACTCCCTCTTGACAATGCCCCTGACCGGCCTGGCTCAATATTATTACCGCAGAGACGCCTCCCTGTTCACGGAATCTGAATCAGAGCCTCCAGACCTGACATATTCTCAGCCAGTTTTGTCTCCACAGTCCTTTCCACTACACGTCTACACTTACTAAAACAAAAGTTCAAGAGCAGGTTCTCTTACCAGTGTTATTTATCACTGTATCCCCAATGCCTAGAATCCTATCAGCACACAGTAGGTGTCCTCTAGGTTGGTTTGCACTTACATTTGTTAAATGAATGAAACAGGTAGGTGTTATCTCCTTACACATTCAAAAACACGCATAGGGTTGATGATTCACTCACCTCAGTTACACAATTGTTCAACACAGCCGCGACTTAGAATTGGTTTTCAAACCCATGCTCCTAAACAGAGAACTACACGGACTGTCAACCTACTACTCTATCGATGGTTGTATAGTACTTGACGCATTCGGAACCTCCCCTATAGTAATTTCTTGTACTAGTTAGTTACTCTTCACTTCCACTGCCCTGATCTTTGGAAAATGAAGTTTTTAAAGTCCGTTTAAGTGGCAGATAGAAAATTCGAAAAGACAACAGAGTTCCAAAAGGTGGGCAACGACCCCTAGGCATGTCCCCTCTCCACCCCCTTCGCCCCTCCGGAAAGACCCCTGACCCTAACAGAGTCCCAGCGCTACTCCACGCCTCCCCGGCCAGTCTCCACCGTCAGCGCCCCGGCCACGCCGTCCGCGGCGCCGCACTCCCACCTCCTCGATGTAGGCTGGCGGGTCCCGCTTGATCAGATTTTGTAGCTGCGGCAGGTTGCTGGGCAGCTTGTTGTTGTTCCTGCTGGACATGTTGGCAGCCGAGTGACAAGGCGAGCACTGTTACAAAACCCACACTGCCAAGTCGTCCCAGCTGCAGTGAGGACTCGTGCTTCCGGGTGTGACCGGAAACAGCACATGGGACACTCGGCAGGCGGCGCCACATTGGTTCCTAGGGCTCTCCCTACGGAAGCCTCGGAGTGTCAAACTTATTCGCACGGCCGAAACGCTCCATCGTGAGTTGAAGATTTGTATGTGAATGTACTCACCGGTTGCTACTACTGTCCTGCTTTCTGCAACGATCTGACATGCAGACTTTTTCACATATATTAATTTATTTCAACATCTCCACACTCCAATGAAAGAAGTGAGAATCGTTCATTTTTAATCCCATAGTTTAAAATTAGAAGTGGAAAAAACCATAGGGGCAGAGATAGCATTATCCATGTTAGTGGGGGAAGAAAGAACAAGGACATAAATTAGTTCTTCTGTGTGATTTTGAAGTGTTTGCTTTTATTGTATATTAGTTAGTTTCTACTCAGCGTGACCCAGACAAGGGAAAACAGTGTAGACTGGATAAAATGTGATCATCCGACCATCTGTTAAAAAGTGCAGATTAAGGGCCGTCAGGTGGTGTGGTAGTTGAGGCGCTGGACCCCCACATGGTTGATTGCAGTTTGAGTCCTGGACCCAGCAGCTTGCTCTTTCTGTCTCTCTCTGATCAGATTAAAAATAATAATGAAGAAGAATTTTTTAAATTATTAAATATATAAATATATACATAAGAGTAGGTCATTTAAAATCCGTTAACTGTTACAACCTTTGTCAGCACTCATCCACCGGAGTTTTCCATTCATTTCCCAGTAAGTCAAGGACGTGAATACATTTCTACAATCTCATGGAATGAGTAAATAAATATGGGTTGTTGAATTAATTAATGAGAGAGGTTGTTGTTCATACAAAAACACACTCACCCACCCCATGCCAGGCACTGTTCAAACCCTTCACGTGTATTAACTCACTGAATCCCTGGAACATCCCTTCAAAACATCCCTTTTATAGATGAGGTTGACTGCCCAAGTTCCTAGCTAGTGAAGAAGCTGGCATTTCAATCCAGGCGATCTTTATTATGACTACCTGAGAAAGAAAAGAGTAATCTGGCAGCTGTCAGGTGGCAGCTGTCAGGCACCGACAGCAGAAGAGTGACGCTCCCCTGCCTAACTTAATTTCACAAGGCACCGCCTTCAGTTGAGAGATAGATTGAGTGAAAAATAAGACAACTCTGCAGTCACGTCTGAGCACAGACAAAATACAAAATGCTGTGCAAACCACAACAGTTGCATTTGGAGGATGACTTTTTACATTTTAATTTACTAGAGGGCGCCTATGCTTGCTGGAAAGGGGTAGGGGAAGAGAGAGAGAGAGAAAGCATCCCCCATGGGGCTTGGTCACAACACAGTCTCCTCCTCCATCTCTCACCCCTTTCAGGATTTTGGGCATGCGTCCCTACGTGCCTGGTCTGTTTCTCAATCTCTTCCAGCTCAGGACTCAAACTGTACTGTCACCATGTGGGATCCAGCTCCTTAACCACCACCAGCTGGTTCGGGAATGACTATTTTATTTATTAATTTTTGAGCAGGTATTTGTGAAGTTACTAAGAAATAAATGTAAAAAATAGATTTTTAAAAGAAAAAAATTAATAGATTTAATTTGGAGTGAGATTGTATAGGGGGGAGAAACATTCTCCAAACAAAACACATTGAAATTATTTACTGCCATTCCTTTCAAAATTATAAACTTACCTACTATGAATATTTATCTTAAGTCACCAAAATGTGATTTGTGGGGACCAGATCCTGAGAGGAGAAAGGAGGAGAAGGGATTGTGGCGTAGCTATTTCCCCTGAGGGGTGATTTCTCGCTTTCTGTCTCTCTGTCACTCTCTGTCTGTCTGGCGAGCGCACGCGCCCTATAAGCAAAAAAAAAAAAAAAAAATCCCTCCAAAGAAAGAAAAATAATAATAAAATGAATAAATAAAAGGAGGAGAGGTCTTGTTAGTTTTGAGAGATAAAGACTTCATGAAGATGGTTGTTTCAGAGATACGCCTTGAAGGATGTTTTGATTTGAAGGTATATGTAGAGGAAAAAGAAACAACTCAATTGGGATAGGTAAGGAGCTCCATAAGAGGACTAGCAGATACTGTGGAAGTGAAGGTGTTGAATCCCGCATGGCCAATTGTGCAGTTCTAGTCCTGGACCCAGCAGCTTGAAAATCATGATGTGCGTACACGCTCAAAATCCCAAGAGGAGATAAAAAGAAGAGATTGCAGTGTGGCCATCCCTGCTCCCTGTGGAGGTGGGGGAGGCGGGGTGACTTCTCACTTTCCATCTCTGTCTCTCTCTGTCCCTCTTGGATGAATGCACATGCCCTAAAGCAAAAACTGAAAAAAAGAAGTATCTCCTTAAGAGCTTATTAATATAGGGAACCAACAGTTAGCATAATGGCTATGTCGCTGGAGTCCCACTTAATCGACCGCGGTTCACGTCCTGGACCCGGTGGCTTAGAACTCACGCTGGGCTCATGTGTGTGGGTGCCTAAGATCCCGAGAGGAGAATGGAGGAGAAGGGATTGTGGCGTGACCATCCCCCCTGGGGGGTGATTTTTCGCTTTCTGTCTCTATGTCTCTCTCTCTCTGTCTGGAGAGCACACGCGCCCTATAGCGAAAACCTCTCAAAAAAAAAAGTTTATTAATATCGTTTTATTTAGGAAGAACTTCAGGGATATTTCTTACAATATTCTTCTGTGCAAAATTAGGATGTTGAACTAAGTCAATTCTCAAGTCAACCACATGACTTTATTATACTTGCCATAGGACATTAACAACGATATGATGATCAGCTGAAAATTTTGTTTATATTGATCCTAAATAAACTTTCTTTACTCACTTAACCTTACCCAAAGTAATACTATCTGGGGATGCTGGGTTTGCCACACTGGCAATAGTTCTCAAATATGCATCAATAGGATGAAACATTCCTGAGTCTATCTAAAGTGAACATTTTTGTTTCCATATGAGAGTCCAACATTTATTTATTTATTTAAGAGAGAGAAAGCAAGTCTCCAGGTCTGGGACTCGAACTGTGGTTGGCCATGTGGTAGTGTCTAGCGCTTTAACCACCACACTACCTGCTGGTCCCCCCAACACTTATTTTTTAATGATAAAGTATTTGTCTATTTATTTATTTATTTTATTTTATTTTATTTTATTTTATTTTTGGAGAGGTTTTCATTATAGGGCACGTGCGCCCGCCAGACAGACAGAGAGAGACATAGAGACAGAAAGCAGGAAATCACCCCCCAGGGGGGATGGTCACGCCACAATCCCTTCTCCTCCATTCTCCTCTTGGGATCTTGGGCACGCACGCACACGTGCCCGGCGTGAGTTTAAGCCACCGGGTCCGGGACGCGAACCACGGTTGACTACGTGGGAGCCCAGTGACATAGCCATTACACTAACTGCTGGTTCCCTTGTCTATTTATTTTATAGCTTTATTAAGGTGTAGTTGATACACACGAAACTGCCCATCAAGTGTACCATTCGATGAGTTTTGACATCTGTATGCATCCATGAAACCAATATAGCAATCAAGATAATGAATATGTCATCAACTTCAAAGTCTTCCTGTGCTTTACCATCCTCAAAGAGGTCTTCAAACACTAATGAGAAATACATATTATGAAAAAACTGCGCATAGGTTTCAAAAAAGTTTTGCACCAAAATAAACTTGTATTAACTTGCTATAACATGTCTGAAGAAGATCTACTTTGAAGCACTAAAGAAGGATAAGACGCTAATTTGAAAATAGTCCCTATAGGCCAGCCTGGAATGCGTTGATTAAGCTTCGTGCATAGGGAGCCAGATCCCACATGGCTGACCCTGTGGGTTCAGGCATCAGCATCTTGGAAAACATGTCAGACTGTGTGTGTGTGTGTGTGTGTGTGTGTGCGCTTGTGTGTGTGTGCCCTGAATCCTGACAGGATGGAGAAATGGAGGGAAAAAGTTATTGCATGGTGACCAGGCCTCATTAGAGGGTGCTTTCTCTCTCTCCCTTTCTCTCTGGTGAGATCACACACATTCTGTCAATTAAAAAAAAATAAATAAAAGGCAAAACAAAAGCATCCCTATCAGAGAGACATGTATTCTGCTAAAATTGAAGCACGTACAAACATCTAATTTATGAAGCCTGGGTAGGAGAATGGTGAAATCACTGATACTTTATGAAAAATTTGTGGGAGTAATGCCCAAAGAAATCAGATATTTACAAATGCAATACTTCTTTTCCTTTTTTTTTTTTTTTTGAGAGATTTTTGCTACAGCGTGCATGTAATTGACAGAGAGACAGAGAGACAGAAAGTAAGAAATCCTCCATTCTCCTCTCAGGATTTTGAGCATGCACGCACACGTGCCTGGTGTGAGTTTCAAACCACCAGTTCTGGCACTTGAACTACGGTTGATCATGTGGAAGTCCAGTGCCTTAACCACTGTGCCACCTGCTGGCCCACCAAACTTATATTAAGAAGGGGCAAGACAAGGATGAAGAAGATATCCGTAGCAGCAAACCATCCACATCAATTCATGAGGGAAAAACTAATCTAGTCCATGCTAATTGAGAAGACTAACCATTACCAACCAGAAACAACAGCCAACACCATAGACATTTCCATTCATTCAGTTCCACAATTCTGGCAGAAAAATTAAAGTTGAGCGAGCTATCTGCTCAGTGGGTGCCAGAACTGTTGTACCCAGATCAGCCGTAGATAATAGCAGAGTTTGGATGGAAATTTTAAACAAGTGGGATCCGAAATCCTGAAGCATTTCTTCAAAGAATTTTAACAGAAGATCGCACATCTCTTGTTATGATCCTCAAGACAAAACAGAAATGAAGAAATGACTACTAAGAGGTGGAAGTCAAAGCAAACGCAGACCTGTCAGGAGTAGAGGTCATGGCAAGATATTTTGCTTGTTGACTTTCTGGAGGGCCGAAGAGTAATAACATCTGTTCGTTAGGAGAGTGTTTTGAGAAAGTAGACAAAGCTTTAGCAGAGAAACACCTGGAAAAATGTCTCCAGAGTCTTT